GTACGTCACATTTAGCACGAGCTCGACATCCTTATCAACTGCCACGTGCACGTGCAATTACGACGCCAAGAACGGCCTTTACTGCGTCGGAACTATTCGCGACGCAATAAGCCGCGCTTACACATTCGAATTAAAATTCAGCATGTCTAGGCGTTTCATTGTATTCTAATTATCCGTAGAGTCGCCATCAAGTGCGTCGCGATCACCGAATTTTGTTTGCGGATTGTTGTCGGCACTTAACGGTGCGTCCAGCTGAGATACCTTTTGCTCTCGATTGTCTATGACTTTGCTCTTAGCAAAAAGGAGCAGACCTTCGCGGTGTTCGATTTTAACCGGATCTTATATAAATCGGACTTTATACGTCTTGAGATAAAAAGAGTTCACGTCAAATCTCTAATTTGAGATAACCCAAAAGTAACCTAAAAAGTGTGATCGGTACTATGCGACATTTTTTTGATCATCAAAATAATACGGGGAAACGCAAACCGTGACTGTTTCTCACTTACTGCGTCGTTTGGCGTCATCGCCAAATCGAAAGTATATTACCTCGGTCTACGTGTAAGTCTCTTACATACGGCATCTACGCTTTTTGCCTCTTCGCTCAGAGATGTTGCTAAATCTGGTCTCGCTTAGCGTTTGTTTACAACGTCGTGTTTCTCAGCGATCTCACTTCCTTAAGACTAATCTACAATGTGCTCTTTGTGCTCTATTTCTTACTTTTTACCGCTCGCTTTTTTCTCTTTATTGGTTTGCGACTGATTTGCATTCGACGATTGCGTTTCTTGTCGCGTATACCTTGACTTTTTCGAAGTTAATTTTCAGCTCTGGCGACAGAAAAAAAGAATAAGAAAAAACAAAATAAGAGGAAAAAAGAAAAACAGAAAAAAGCATGAAATAGAAAGTAAACAGGAAGCACAGATGTAGGTTAGGTTTTACAGTAAATGACTAACCATTTAAAATTAAAACAGTTTCAAATTTTAACTTTTTGTCTTGACAACTTATGTGTCTCAAATTTTATCACAATTTAAGGATATGATTATTGAATTGTTATTTTTTTAAGAAATAATAAGTGTGAAATAAATTTTTAACTAATATACGTGTGAAAAATTTTATGAATTTGTATTCCTCATAAAATATTACTCATAAAATTAATTCAGTAGAAGAATACAATTTTTAATAAAATGAAATTTTTAGTAATTTTTGTTGTGATCTCACATGGTATTATATATTCTAATATAAATGTTATTTACAAATATATTAATACAATATTGTTCATGTATTTCATTAATAATTATGAAAACAAGTTTATATAATATATTCAAATTTAATTACAATTAATATTGAATTTTTTAAAATGTCTCTTTTCCTTCTCAAGGAATTGGTCATTTTATTTTGCAGAAGTGTCGTCGAACCTCACGCGATACACGCAAGCGATTACGAGAGTCGCGTTATTTTCGGAAGTAACGATATTCTCGGATCGAGCTAGGTGTTTTCCACGAGTCCGTAATCTCTGCGAACGCAACGGCGAGGGAGAAAGGAAGAAGACAGAGACAGAGACAGAGAAAGAGAGAGAGAGAGAGAGAGAGAGAGAGAGAGAGAGAG